ATTCCCAGTGCCACATCAAACAATATACCTCAAACTTAAACCTTGGCGGACTTTTCTTCCATGGATATTTTTGTTTATCATTTCAGTTGCTGCTTTAGGGTTCATGCTTGGAAATACAATTTCCTTCATTGGACTGATTTTTAAAGTGAGGTTGTGATCTGAAAAGTGTCTATTAGTTGCATGACAGATTTTTTTTTTCTTTTACACCAACCTTCCCTTGAATTTGTTCCATTGGAAACCTAAAATATTTTCCCCCCAACAGTTGGAAAACTCCACCTGGGCTTCTCTGTCCAGGGCTGCCTTTCCTGCCCCTTCCAATCCACCCTGGAAATTAAGATTCTGCAATTGCAAATTGGCTGACAATTTGGTTGCTGATGCAGGAGGCAGATGGTGCTGGGGATAGGATGGGATCCAGCTCGGCCTCYTATTCCAGGCTTGGCTCAGAAGGGCTAACTAGCAAAGAATCTGAGTTTGACAGATGATTGTCAGTTTGTCCCAAGGAAAGAGTAGTAACTATGTTACATCTGCAGCAGGTTTCATTTCTCATGTTCATGATTTTTGAAAATAGAGAAAAAGCAGTCCAAGGGCACATCTGAGAAATCTTTCCATTTTAAACACTCAAGAATAAACAGATAGCTTTGATGATGTCCATTAGGGAAATACTTTCATTATGTCTCTATAAATACTACAAGGAAGTCATGATGGAAATATTGGATGAATACCCACTTTATTGTGGTGAAGAAAAGCACATAAAAGCTTTTTCTTAAATTATGAAATGGCTCAACCAGAGTTCTTTGGAGGAAGGTGAGACCCAGGATCTAATTCTTGGCAACCAGATAACCTCTTTGAATCTGTGGCACTGATCCAGAACAAGAACCTAATGATGTGGGCCAAAGAGAAAATGGAGTCCCTGGAGGCCTGTATTTCTACTTTCCCAGAGTTAAGTCTGCCCACGGGGGCAGTTAATTGAGCATAAAGTTCCAAGAGCCCTAAGATGGAATGACAAGTAGCTACAGTATTCACACCTGCCAGAGACACACTCTTGTCTGCTCCCTGTCTGGGAAGCTGCAACAGGAACTTGTGAGGACCCCACCAGCTGGTACTGCAAAGACCATGTGCTTGCAACGTAACCACTTTTGATCACCCTAGGATCCTCTTCTAGGACCCTTCCTCCCCATCCCTACTGCCCCTAAACATCTGCTGTGGATCGGAGCAGCCATTGAATTGAAGTGACACTGCTGCATACATTTCAATTCTTAGAGACAGCAGGCTCTCTTTCTGCTCCTTTCAGAGAAAGGCCAGCAAGTTCAGGTTAACTCCTCTGTTAACTAGCTGCTGTTTCACACCGATCCACTAGATGTCCTCATAGATCCACTTTGTATTGCCATTGAAATTCCCCAGGAAATCTCTGAGGATTGGGATTTGGCAAGAGAGCAATGGGTAACTACCTAAGAAAAAAACTCAGCACACAAAAGGAGAGAGAGAGGACACTTAGTGTGTCCAAGGAGTAGATAAGAAACTTGTTTCTATATTAAATAAATACTGAAGTTTTTCAAGTTGCTCTTTGAAACCTAACCTTGGGAGTTTTAAGTAGCGCTCTGATGCCTGAAATTAACCTTTTAACTCAAATTGGCTCTAGAAAAAGGAAAAAATCACTAAGAAATGGAAATAAAATACTATTGGTTCTTAATAGCTAGGAATCACTAAAACAAAACTTGCAGGATCTGGAAGCCAGAGAGAGAGAGAGTTGAGGGAGATGATGGGAGGTAATTCCCAAATTAGGAGATCCACCAATAATTTTGATATAACTTTATTTTAAAACTTGAGAGTATAATTTTACACACAGAGTATCTGCATCTTCTGAAACATCTATTACCAGAGATGCAAATCCTTCTCAGTTTTCAGTTAAAGAGCTTGTCCATGACTTGAATAATGGCCCTGAGGAAATCTCTTCCTGACTGGCACACGTAGCCTTCAGGCCTGATGGATCACTTCCCCAGACGGAAGGTCAGAATTACTCTTACCTTTTAAGAAAGTAGACCCAGAAGTATACATGTGAAGACTCCTGACAGGGGTCAATGAAAACGGACTGTTCCAGAAGTAGAGAAAAGGAGCCACCCTCGCAGTTGGTGGCCTTTGGTCTAGACATTGTGACTCATGAAGGTTTGTCAACATGTGGGGCTCAATCAGTTTTAACTGTTTCTGTCTTGTCTTTGAGCCTCTTGTTGATCATTCTTGCTGGTTTTTTCTTTCTTTTTCTTTTTCTTTCTTTCTTTCTTTTTTTTGTGGTGGTGCTTGTTTGTCTTTTTTTGAGATTTCTATTTTGCATTTGGTGTGAGTGTAAAAATGACTGGGAAGGAATGACGAGTAATAGCATGTTTTCTTTTTTATGCATATGCTGCTTTGGAATGTGACTGCTTATAATTAACAGCTAATCTTCTTATAGCAAATGGTTTTTTGCTGCTTCGATGACCAGTTTCAGCCTGTTCTTGCATGCTAACAATATGAAATTTTAAAACAATGCATGGTTTCCAGAAGAGCCAACAATGGCAGTTGCAAACAGTCCCTGAGAGCCACTGGTTGGATATCATAATCACCCATTATGATGGGTTTGCCTCTGACAAAGTAGTTTCAAAAGTTATTGTATCCCTAACATTCCACCCTTTGTCCTTAAAGATGGTATGTGTATGTGTACACACATACATCTATGTGTGTATGTGTGTATATGGATATATATGTGTGTGTGTGTGGGTACACACACACTCACACACACACACTCACACACACTCACACACATATTCTTTCCCTATAAATGTGTCAGATTCTGTTATTGTGTAGGAACCCCAAATAGCATCATGGAAATGGAAACCAGGGACTATTGCTAACAAAAAGCAAAGCATTTCTGAGTTTGATTTGATGGTCTTCTCCTCTGCTACAGCATTTGATTTAAAAAACTTTTGAAACAAAAAAGTCATCCTTGTTTTTCCTCTTCCATGTAAATAACAAATCAATATTTCCAGTAAAAGAACTTAGGAAAGGAAAAACAAGGATTTGATTCTCCAGGTTGTGCACCAGAACCAGATTCACATATAAGACGATTATTTTCATGTCTTTAGTTGAAACCCCCTGTCCCCCCTCGTTCTTGACTTCAGCCACTGCTGTTTGTTGGGGGTGTCTGAGAATTCAGACCATGCCTTCTGAATTCCTTTGACTCAAATGCTATAGTGAAATTCTTTTTAAATACTTTTTAATTTTTTTTGRTAAAAACTAAGCTCAAAGGAATGAGATACTGCACACTGAACAGGGCTAGAGCTGCATGATGATGGGAACAGACTAGTTAGGATGCTAAAAGAAGGTGTCACTAAACATGGGAGCCAAGTTTACAGGAATGGAGATGCTGCTGAAGAGATCTCTTGTTCATCTCCCCCAGTGCCTGTTCTTCACAATCATAACCTTACCCTTGCTTGAAAAATATACCATATGGCAAGTCATAAAGGTCTTAGAACAGGACTTGACCCATTTGAGAGGTTTAAACCCCTTTCTCGGTGACTGTAACATTCAAAGAGGGCAAAACCACAAGCCATATTTTTAAATAAGAGGGCAACCATTCCCTACAACAAAGAAGAAAGGCAGGAGGTGGGGAATGACTTTCCTAATGGCATGTGTGGACCCCAGGGAATAACCCTCTCCAACTCAAGTTCACTGTTTGGCTGTGATGTTTGGAATAAATATGAATTCTTCTCCCACCCTGTGAGAGAAGCAGGCTAGTCCATGCTAAGTGATAAGCAAACATGTTTGCCTGTTGTAGCATCAAAACAAGGTACAAAAAGCTTATCTTATTGTACTTAAATATAAATTGGCTTGAGGGGTGAAGGTGAAGGGCATTGGGAACTGCTGGGGTGATATCCAGCAACTCGTGTAGGTCAGCATTTGGGTTGGATCCCTGAGCAGCATGAAACCTACAGTACTGGCTTTAGAAGAGCCACCACGGGGGCCTGCAAATCTCAATAAGAAATTCATTGTGGAAACTGTTATCTGATTTTATGTTTTGTGATTTCTAAGCTATTTTGGCCAGTATTTTCTGTGTACAGGGGGGAAAAAAAAAGAATGTTTAACCAGTAGACTGATGGCTTTCTGAATTTCTGGTGGGTGAGGAGAGAAAGACAGATATGATTTTCAGATTCGGCTTTAAGCAGAAGGTGCCCCCATGAGTAGGCAAATGCATTCCAGTAGACCAACATCTCATGCTTTTGGTGATTTCTTATTTGCGATCTTCCTTTAATGTCAAATACGCAGCATTAGCCTTGAGTAGCTGCATTTCTTATATGGACAGATTTGGATATTTGTTCTGTCAAGAGTAAATTTAAATTCCTATAGCTATCATGTAAACTCACTCCAGGGAAGTTCAGTGAAGGCATCCTCAGATTCTATATTAACACGTAATCGTTTCACATCTAATTTGATGGAAGCTTGTCCCGGGCTCTGCCTAATGCCCAGAAATGGATGGAAATTAGGAAAAAAGAAAAAAAAAACCTACCTATTAGATATGTTTGCATCTTGCAAAGACCATTTATGGTACCAAATAAGCAATTAATTTAATTGATTGGCCATGTGTTTCTTTTGTCCTTCTGCATTAATAGTGCAGGGGGAAAATGTTGGTTACTTTTTTTGCTGTCTGTAATTTGCTCTTCTCATCCAAGAACCCAGTTGTGTTCAGCCATGCCCTTTTCCCGTGGTTACCGCTCTATTGAGGGGAGAAAAATAATATGCATCAGCCTAGGGGGACTATAAAGGCAATTTATATTTTCACTGCTTTTTTGATGTACAACCAAACTGTTATCAACAATCACTCTGCATTTTTTTTCCCCTGGGTCAAGACTGTTAATGTGAACTAAGACCTGTGTTAAATCCCTTCAGCTCCCTTCCAGCTGTCTTGCTGTGTGTGACCTTGCCATTAACTGCCGCTCTTCCTCTCCTCCCATCCAACCACATGGTTATAGCCAAGATGTCCATCTACAAGAGAATGAGGCGGGCATGTTGTTTTGATTGCGGACGTTCTGAGCGTGACTGCTCGTGCATGTCAGGCCGTGTGCGTGGTAACGTGGACACCCTTGAGAGAGCCTTCCCACTTTCTTCTGTCTCTGTTAATGATTGCTCCACCAGTTTCCGTGCCTGTAAGTTCAATCTCGACATGCACCCCCTGTCTGTGCTCTCTGTGGTCTCATCCCTGTCTCGTGCTGTGCCCCGTGGTTCTGTGAGTCAGTTGGGCTGGTGTCTTCGTCCCAGTGTGATCTGTTATGTGGTGACTCATTGCCCCAGCTGCCTGTGTCCCTGTATGTGCTGAGGAGGGAATCTGACTTTGTTGGTTTACTATGTTTCTTGCAATAATGGGTAGTACTGTGATGTAACAGTCCAGCGATATTCTTTCTCTCTGGTTTAAATCAGTATAAGAGGACCGTATCTCAAATACTATATTAAAACAGAGATATATGAAAATGTACATTTTAATATTTTGGAAAAGCCTATAAATTGGGTTGGGCTGAAGGGAGGAAGAAAAAAAAGTGTTAAGAGAGAAAGCTAGCTCAACATTAAATTTTTAAATGAGCTTAATTTTTGAAAATGCAACAGAGTTTAGGTGCAGATGTCTGCAAAAACATCTACACATATGGTATTTTTTCTGTGCCTTTCTAACCTGAATCTCATTTCTCCAGTGCCAGATTTTGTGCTATATTCTGGAAAAAGGTATTTTAAATCTGCCAACCTCCATAGGCTGGTGGATTCTAGAGCTTCTCCTCAGAGAGATGACTAATTCAAAGAATCGCTCCAAGAAAAATCTTTTATTTTTTCCCACTTTTTATTTTGCCCCACTTAACTAAGGTATCTTGTAATAATCATGAATCTAAATAACAAAAATTGTAAGTCAAACCGCCGTGATTTCCAAGTCAGTAGCACAGGCCTTTGTCTCCCAGGAGCTCAGTGATGTGAAAGAGCTGCTGGTGACTAATGAGGCCGAGATGAGCCACATCCCTGAGACCATGCTTACCCCTGTCTTCACCAGAAACCTTGCTGTTTTGTTGACACAGTTCATTGATGATGTTACTGGAAGCTCTTGGTGGAGAGGATGGGATGTGTGTCCTCATTCACGTGAATAAAAGGCTGTGTTCTGCTTGAGGACTTGGCTGTCCATCAAGTATGATCGTGACCTTGATTTCATGTTGTTGGTAGTGCAAGAGGTAGGAGGCAATGTTTCTTTCTGTGCTTCATCCATTCCTCTTTATTGGCAACTGTACTGTCATCCATCCTCTCCCTTCCTACGTACCCGGAGCTGGTTGAGCTACATTTTTACCAGTGAGGACGAGTTCACACCCACCACAAGAAGAAGGGAGAGCACAGGGCTCTTGAGCATCTGTTCCCATGAAAGCAAAACCTGCCTAACTCCCTGGTGTTGGTGCTGGAAGTGGTCCCAGCACAGGGTACTTGTGTGATGGTGACCATGGGGATATGTAGGGCCAGGGAGGTAACTCTAAACTCAGACTACACACCAGAGTGGTAAGCCATGCCAGGTCTGATATTTGAACACACAGTTTGGTCTGAGGCATGACACATGCATCAAGTTGTATTGGAGGCATTAGGAAAAGCTGGACCTAGGACCATAGGATATCCTCTCTGATTCCTGATTCACTGCTCCTCCAAAGCAGTGCTAAAGGATAAAAGTGACACCTAAAGGAGGCTGCTTTGAGAGGAATTATGGGCTACACTAACCACTTTGGCCTAGAATCATGGAAAGGAGGTATCTTTCTTACAAATGCCACAATATGAGTCCTTAACCTTTATTCTCCCTTTGAGAGTTCTCTCTTAGTTTTTATGCCACTACCCAGATGACCCAAGTCACAGTTGCACAAATAACTCATCTGTGATGGTTTGGCAAAATGCCAGGTTCAAAGATGAGGAGGAAGACAAAGGGGTGAGCTGTGGTGGCACCTTTTGGCCACATATCTTTGACTGGCAGTTGTGGATGTAACTGCCAGCCATCTTTTGCTGTTCTCAACTACTAGGCTCTGAAACATTGGCCACAGATTTAGTGGAAAAAGGAAGGAGCCACTGTGGCTCCAAGCTAGGGCCTATGGTCATATCTTGGCTGTGGTCAAACAGATCAATAACAGCAAAGTCTGTGTCCCTGTTTAAGGGCCATGATGCCCAGTGTGTGTAATTTCCACTTTATCCAAGAGAAACCATAATTAGAGGAATTTCTCTGTTCTGCAATTTCATCTAAGCATTGATGGAGGCCAGGAGAAGAAAATCTTGGGGCGGGATTGTCCCATCCTCTCAGAAACATTCTGTGCATGATCTTACTGTCCTTTCTGTGCCTCCAGCACAAGCAACTCTACCCCCGTGGAAGACACGGAGCTTTGGGCCCATGTTGAAGCTGTAACTGGTATTGACAGCTCAGGGGGAGGTTGGCCTTCTCTGTTTCATCCTCTTCCCGCCGTCGTCACTCCATCAAACAAAAGCAGATTTCATCCATCCCTGTGTGAGACCACTCACCTTTGACCACTAATAATAAGTTAGAAAAATCCATTCCAATTTGAGCCCCTTTATGCACCCACATAAGCCCTTCTTCTCCAATTAAAAAAGTCTCTCTCTCTTTCTCTCTCTTTGCGGAATCCCACTGGCAGAGCTCCAGAGCAATCCCTGGGTGACCCTTGCTGGTGGTGGGGTTGGGCGGTGCCCATTTGACAGAGCGAGTTGACTCCAAGAGCAGTGGTGAGAGTGGGCTTTTTATTAAATATGAGCAGATGTGAAATGTAGAGGGTCTGACAATTAGAAATGGCAGGAGAAGGGCCCTGGAATCAAAGTGAGGTCAGATGGGCGGATCAGATTACTTCTCTTACATTCTTTAGTTCTTCTGAAAATCATTTTGAATTAGTGTCAGCGGAGCCATGATGAGTTTTGCCCTTTGTCTTTTATGCTGAGGCTGTATTGTTTCCCCAAGACACTCATTAAGGGTCATTATGCTATTATGGAGCTTGCTTTGGTCGCAGTTTCCCAGTTGAGCCAGTGTGCTTTGGAGACGGCCTAATTCGTCTCTCTCTTGCTTTTCGTCTCCCTCTCTACAATTTTTTTTTCCTTATAAAGGGAAAGATTTCCGTTTTTCAAGGGACGCTAAGTTGAAACACGAAGTCCCATTACGTGTTTTCTGAAGTGGGAGTAGAAGTAGCAGGTTCCCAGAGGAGGGGTGATGCATTAGAAGTGTTCACACAGTTTTCAAAACCTGCCTTCTACTAGCAGGGCCTGCCTGCCTCCTGCTCAGGCACCTCTCTTTGGAGGTGTGGGCCATTTCCCAGGATCAGCCCTTGTTAAATCTCCTGCTGGTAGACCAGTTGTCTCTTTCTGTTGAACTGGTGAGAAGATGAAAGGCCAAAGGTGTGACATMAAGACTTTGGGAGAGGAAGGTCTAGTTTAGAAAAGACAAAAATAAAAATAAAAAGTTTAAATATGTGTAGCAAAAGTAAGACAGTGACAAATAAGGACACATGGCAAGACCATTTTGTTTTTGGCAATCCTTGAGGCTAGAATCAGAACACATAGTGTCATTTTCTGATCATCTTGATTCTGTTTCCACTTCTGATGATCTTGGGCAGAATGCCAGCTCTGGTAAAAGACACCAGGATGGTGTGCACCCCACCTTTTCCACAAGTAGCTGTCCTATAGTACTACCCAACATGAAAAATATACGTCCAGCAACACACACGTATATACATACAGATGTAGGTTCTAATCAGCCCCACTCCTTCCCAATATAATTTTGTGAAATGTCCCTTCTCTCTATGGAACTTTTTTCTTGCTCTTTCAGTCTGGTCTGATATCTGATTGCTAAGTGCAAATAGAAAGGGACAATTAAAATTATGACGCAGTGACAACTTAGGACCCTATTGATTCAGACCTGCTGAGACCTGCCTGATGTGATTCTGGTCACAGACTGTCAGTAACTCTGGTGAGATCAAATTAATCATGTGGCAGAAGAGAAACGGGTTATTATAGTTGCCCTTGGAACTAGTTTTAGCTAAAATACACGTGTGATCACTCATGCCAACCTTTCAATAGCTTAAACCTGCGTGATTACACACATGCTTTGCAAACTAAGGTAGCTAATTTTAAATTGTGCATGACTTTTATTTCGGGCATAAATATAACACATGGAGGCATTCAACTCTGAGGGGTAAGCTGAGAGAAGAAGTCCAATACGATTAGGTTGAAGGGAGACATACCAAAATCGGTTTAGAGTAATCTTGAGTCTTGTCAGATAATAAACAAAAATCAGCTTATCCTGAGTGGCCTTTGGTTTGTGTGGGCAGAGAATTAACATTGTCAATAGAACTACAGTCACTCCAGTGAACTAATGGCATTTTGAAGAACATAAAATCAGATACTAAGGCAGGGGATGGAAAGGGCTCTAGAAAAAAAATCCATCATAGGACATGCCTGTGGAGGGGACAGTTCACTTAATAAACTGCTTCTAAAGACCAACAGCCTATCATTATTTTATTCCTCTTATGTATAGTTTTGGGAGACTTTCTCCAATCCTCAGTTTTACTTAGTTTAACTTTGGGTCCTAGAAACCAATGGCCTCCTCTTCTCACCACTGCCACAGTGAGAGGGAAATGGGAAAAGGAAAGCTGAAGGATACTGAGCACATATTAGTTTAATTATAGTTTTCCATTGATTTTTTCATCAACATATAGTAATGACACAAATTTATGGGGTATAATGTGAGTATGTGAGTTTTCCACACACACACACACACACACACACACACACACACACACATATTGTACAATGATCAAATCAAGCTAATTAGCATATACATCACATCAAACATTTATCATTTCTTTGTGGTAAAACATTCCAAATTCTCTCTACCTGCTACTTTGAAATATATACTACATTATTGTCAACTCAGTCAACCTAGTGTGTATCAGCAGAATTTGCCCTTCCAATCTCACTGAAACTGTACCCATTGTCCAGTTCTTCCCACCTCCACTCCAGGCATTTTTATTTTTTAAAGCCCTGCATCTGGATGTCCAGATTTATCCCATTTTCTCATGTAAGCCATGCCAGTGTGATCCTCTCCCATCCCCTTTCTCTGTCAATATTCATTACCCACATTTACATC